AGAACCCGACTGTGAGTAACTTCACTAAATGAAGAACAAGCATGTTTTAATACAACAAATGCACTGGATGCAGACACACAGCTACTCTTTATGTTTATTCCATCTGAACACAAGCTTTGTTCTTCTGGTGTTAGTTTGTATCTGTGAGTCTGCTGAGAACTGTGAAGTTGAGAAAGATCCACTATACATTATCACTGGAAATATTGTTCAAACATACTTACTGCATTATTTAATTGAGTTATATGTTGAAAACAAATATTTGGAAAAGTACTTCTTTAATGTTTCATTTTAGTCTATAAAGCACCAAACGTTTCATATAATAATTATATATTTTTTTGTCTGTCTGATGACGTAAGTTTGAAATATAAAATCAGATGCTCAGTATTTGAGTAGACTTTTACCTATTTGCTTGAGTAAAATATGTTGAAGTAGTGATACTCCTACTAGATAATGAAACAAAAGCTAACAAATGTTTTATTTTCCACCGTTTCCTATGAGCCTCAGCAGCGTTAGAAGATAAATCACAGATGGTCCATAAGGTTGTCACTCATTTCAAAGTGCTACAGAGCAACTTAGAACAAAGTACTGTAGGTACACAAGTGAGTGATTCTAGTGATTCAGTGATAAAATGTCACACCATCTGTGCATTTAATCCATCAAACCCTGTGTTTGCTGCAAAAGCTTCAGTCATGACAAAAAGTAAATCACAAAGGCTCATCACATTGTACTCTAAAATAAAAAAGGAATGAAATGCATATATACATCATAAATTAGATGAAAGTGGAGCCCAGAGTTTGGCAACTAACCAAGCTACACCAAGTACATATACGCAAGGAAATATGGGCTGCATAATGAGAACAACGACAAATATATGACAGGCTGAGAACCAAATAAAATCACTCTCTACCCTTTGTCACTTTTATATGCACTACATTGTATATGCAGTCACCCGGCAGATGAAACTCATTTATGTATTCATGCCCAGGAATGATGCTGTCTGCAGGTTTCGACTCTAAAAATAGTTTGATGCACAACTTCTCTGGGTGCCACAATGCAGAGGAATGTAGAGGAAGCAAAATGAACGATAAATTTCAGCTCATAGTTTTGGGAGGAATCATCTTTGTGAAGTAGATTTGTAAATCCGTGTCACTTAGTCATTGAAGGATGGGTGAGTTGATTCATCGAACGCCCACCTTATACATTATGAAAACATTCCCCACCTTTCTTTCAAAAGAAACCTTTTATATAACTTTGCTGTTTGAAAACGAGGGATTGTTAAAACATTTCTTTGATATCAATCACATTTATTCATGTACAAGATGCACAGCTTTGCCAAAGTATTCATGCCACTGTTGAAAGTCAAAACTTCAATTCAATGTAATTATTGAGCTTTTATGTGATAAACTGGTGCATAATTGTGAACTAGAGCA